AAGGAGAGTGTTTATAGTGTGAGTAATGGATTCCAAAGCTTATATATTTATTAATTATTATATAGGAAGTGTTAAAAGAACAAAAAGAAAGAAAAAGAGCATTAATTAATTAATTAATTGATTAATTGTAGAAGGTGAGTTAAGTTAAGATGAGAGGCATATACATATATACATATATATATATAAGAGAAGTTGATGATGTGTTTTGGAAGGATGGTCTTAAATATGAGCACATGGGAACAAGGGTGTCTATTTTATTGGCCCCGTTTTTGGTTGCTGTGCTGTGTGTTAGCGGGGTTTGTCCCAAACCATGCTACGGCACTTCCCTTAATGTTGTCTTAATATTCCCAAAACATCATGGGCCCCATTTGGCACCCCTATCCATGCCACCTCTCATCCATATTCTCTAATTCCATTCATATTCTTCCTTAATAATGCCTATAATATCTTGGCGGACCGATTAGAGTGGTTAGCTCAAGATCATAGGTTCACGATATATAGCTTCTACCTCAACGAAGTGTTCGGTATGATAGCTCGGGGTACAAGTCAGCCTTGGCTACTAGCTAGCAAGTTGAGCGAGCCACTACAAAAAAATAGAGTTCTAGTGAAGAATTTTTTTGTCACTATATCTACGATTGTTGTCACTATGTTGTCACTATATCTACTGTCAGTATATCTACAGGTGTTGTCACTATATCTACAATTATTGTCACTATATCTACAATTGTTGTAGATATAGTGACAATAATTGTAGATGTAGTGACAGTAGATATAGTGACAACACAGTGACAACAAAATTCTTCACTGAAACTCTATTTTCTTGTAGCTAGCTCATCCAAGAGCTCGATCAATTGGAGGGATTGTTATGACGTGGAGGTCGTGTAAACAGAAGGCCAACAGTATGACATAATAAGGAGTTTGGTCACAGAGTCACGAAGTTAGGGAAAAGACTTAATGTCGACCTATTGAATCCCTGTGAAGAAAAGAACGGAGTTGTACTCGAATGACAAGTATATCGCGCTAAGGAATAGAAAGATTTCAAAAACATATTATACTAAGAAAAAGAGATACAGGGAGATTTCTTTCCTCATAATAAGGTTGCGTGGGTAGAAAGACAACCTCCTAATAAAATGAGGTTATGGGGATCATTTATATATTAACGTATAATTTATACATTATATCTCTATTTTTTAGAAGAATAAAGAACAATTTTGCTATTTTTTTATGAAATCTTAAAAATTTTGTTATTTTTTTATGAAAACTAATATGTACACATTTGTTTACTTGATTAATTTTGATGTCTAAATTCTAATTCGTATTTTGCAATTTTATCTTTAATTTATACATATAAACGAAGTTGTGAGTATAAACTAATCGAGCCCAGTCGTGACGAGCTCTTGATACTTGAGCTCTAGCAGCTGTTGAGCTCGATCCATTAACAAAATGAGTCGTTAACGAACTCATATTTTATTTCAATATTAACAAGTCGAACTCGAGCCTTAACAGACCGTTGTTATATAGAATACATAATAATATATATTTTTTAAGTTTTTCGTTAATTAAATGAGCTTTAAACAAGCTATAATTCGCTCGTTTATCACACGAGTTGAGTTGGGTAGAGCTGAACTCATTTGCATCGATTC